CCCCCTCTTTTATATTTTCCCATTTTCTGATCTATGTTCGTTAACACATTGACAACGTACAATGATGCGTGAGCAGGTATTTGGAGACCACCACTCTTAGCTTTTACTTTTGTTCTTTTCGTCTATTATTTCTGCCTGCCTGTCTGCCTTACTTTCCTGATCTAGATCTAGATCTAGATCTAAATCAACGTTATTGTGCAGAAGTGTTTCTCTTTTTTCAAAATCTTTATCATTTTTTCCCCTGTTCTTTCATAAGCACGACAGAAGCGTACATATATGGATGTGTGAATTCTATTTTTGACAGCAGGAGCTGAGATGTCACGCGGGCCAAGCAAGACCTCCCAAGACCCCGTAGAACAGAATGGAGAGCTCCCCTCGTCGCTTGGCCACTGCCATATCACGCCCGCTCCGATGAACGTGGCAGCAGCTGCTAGCGAGGACACAGTGGACCTTTTCTTGTCTTCTGACTCCAGTCACAGTGACTCGCTCACTCAAGAGGGACCTGCACCGAGCCGAAACAAAGAGGAAGAGGAGGAGGATGAGGAAGAGGAGGAATACGACGGGAAACGACACGATGGACGCAAACATTGGACTCGCGCCGATGAAATAAAACTGTCGTTATCTTCTCCTCCTATTGCGTCAAGTTCGTCTCCACAAAGACAACCTGAACGACCTCAGCGTTTAGATCTATCTCCTCCTGGTCTTCCTAGTCTTGGAGCTAAACACACAGACGCCGGGAGTAGCAGCAGTCACAGCTTGGCTAGTGAAGGGAGTCCGGCACGACAGGTCTCATCGGGAAGATGGGAACCCCGAGCTTCCATGAAGCAGGCAAGCTGGTTGGCTGGTTCAGCGAATAGCCTGGTAAATACTCACTTTAGCTATTTACGTCTCCCCCCCCCCCTTTCGAGGGCGGGATACTTAACAAGTGTCTAAATCTTTAACATCTTAATCTTTGTTTCTTTTTTTTTTTTCTTATTAAAATCCTCCTCGGCAGTTGCATTGAATTAGTAATCGCCAGACAATGAAAGACAAGCGATAAATAAACTTTAAGTATAACAAATTGAAGTCTACATTAATTAAAGCTGACTTTAAAGACATGCCAAATCCACGGTAGCCAGGACATGTGACGTATAAGAGCTATATATTACTGGATAATGCTGGAGAGTTCAGTCATGTTCAAAGTTCTGAAACCCTACTGCTTGCATTCGGACCTTTGCGGGTAGTAAGAGAGCGCTATTGGTAGATCCTACTTGTTCTTTATTTCCCTTTTCCTGTCTTTCTCGTTCTCTCCATTGCGTGACCGTTAGTGTGCAGATGTGCTTCCCTTCACTCAATGAAACATTTTAACTTTCATGCCTGTCAAATTCCGTGGTGGTTGAAAAGAGACAAGAAAAGAATGCATTCTCCTTTCACCCC